TGCGGCGGCGAGTAATGGGGTTAATAAGGCGAGTGATGGGGTCGGAGCTCTTACGATTTCGGATCGGACGTGTACTGGTGTTCTCTGCTCGCATCCGCAATCTCGAGATATCCATGTAAGCTTTGTTCATGTTTTTCATTTTGAGGTTCTTTTGATTTTAAAGCCGTTATTTTACTCTGATATGTGGTTAAAGATGAGTTTTTTTAGCCCAAATTTGTGTTAATCTGCTACATAGTGTGGTATACTTCTATAGTTGGATCTGAACTTGTATAATTTTGGTTGAAGTCCAACAATAGAGGGTCTAAAGCTGAATACAGCTTTAAAAATAAATTAGGCCGGGTTGTAGAAATGGTTTTGGAAGTGGGCTTGAAAAGATTAAAAGAAAGATAATGGGTTTAAAGTAAAAAAGACCCATTATTTTTTTAGCATTAATTTCAGAAAACCCCTCTCAACTAATCAGTGAAGTTTATTTTCCAAATCATCAGGCATCCCCCTAACATTTTAACTTATATATTCTATATTTGAAGCGACAGTATGTTAACGGCGTTAGCTATTAGTTTTTAAAGACTTTTTTTACCCCCTTAATCATTTAGTTCTATCATTTTTAAGGATAGAAGTAAGCAAACCCTATCCTTCTCCTTGCTAACAAAATCTGATCATGAAAAATCCAAAGAGGGATTACCATTCCCAGCGCAAGATACTAGCATTCAAATATACTGTTTAATCAACATCAGGGGTTGGAACCCGAAATGTTATGAAGGATGATAAAATCCATAAACATCTTTGATTTATTTTGTAGCAAGATTTAAATTCCGAGTAGTTAACTTTGTCGTTGTAGGTTCTGTTTTGTTCTGGGTTGATTTAAAGGTTCCATAAAGAAGGTGAGAGTAAAAAGAATAATGAGGGAGCACTGTCCTAAGAACTTATGAAGGTCACTCTAAATATTGGGTTTGTGTTAACTGGCATTGGCAAGAAGATAGGGGCATTTTGGTCAATAAAATGCTGATTTTCCATCCAAACTGACAGAAGTATGGATGTTATAAGAAGTTGAAATGGTAGGGTGGTTCACTGATCATCTAAAAAATTGAGGTTCTTTATTTGATTTTAGTGATTAGGGTCTGAAATTATCCTTTTTTTAATATTAATGTTATTTCTATTTGTCGTTTGGGTTGGAGCTAGTTTTTATATCTGATCTGATTAAGTTAAAAGCAAAGCCAAGGGCATGGGATCTGGTTGAGCTGGGGCTTGAGTACTTATAGTTATATATGATCCTTTTAAAAATATGGTTGAAAAATAGGTGCAGTTAGCCATTTTTTGCGGACTGTTTATCCTGACTGGTTCAATATGGATTTTTGGATCTATATGTTGCAGGTTCACTAAATCATTATATCTCCTGAAGAACTTATTTGGGATTGATTGTTGCTTTCAGAGTCATTGTATTGACTTTACTTAATGGATATTGTGATTGATTGAAGAACTAGATTTAAATCTTTTTACCACTACTAATTATGCAAGAGGTAAATGATGAATAAGGAGATAAGATATTGGTAGGAAGTTCTCATTTTCCCCCCTGAAAGTAGTACTTTTCTGGTGGTTCTATACAAACTTGCACATATGAAATAGGGGAAGGAAGTTTTTTATGTAATTTGCTGGTCATATGAAATTAATGCTTAATTGTTTCTTTTGTATTAAGTTAGGAATTCTCTAGAAGAGCTTGACAACTTGTGAACTGACATGATTTTGGGCAAAAAATGTTAGCTGTAGTTGCATTTATGTTTTAGACATTTGTTTCCATGGTGTGTGCTTTCCTTTTTAACTTGTGTGTGAACATTGTGTGACGTTTGCATTTCTTTTGTATTAGCTATGCATCTCCTTTAAATTCTCTGTGCTTTCTGTTAGAAATAATTTCATATATCATCAAATAAAGAGAATATAAAAGGTTTTCATGTCGTGTATATCACACGAAATTGACATATTTAGCTAGCTTTCTAACCTTGCTTGTAGTCTTGTACTTGTTGATGTTACCTAATTTATTGCTTTAAGGAATCTTTGTCAATTTTTATTTTAAGTCGTGTTCGGTAGTGTATCTGTTTATTCTCTTTCAAGGCAGAAACTAGTAATTTTTCATGTTGTTTCCTTCCTTTTTTAACACGGGTTCTTGTTTTTTTAGTAATGCTTATGTACTAAATTTTCTTGATGTATGCACGCTAACTAAATAGAGCTACAGTAATATACTTCTTGCAGAGGACTTAATTTTGTAGTCAAGTAGTTTGATGAGCATGCTTATGCACCTGATGACATATTTAGGCTACATGTTTTCCTTCTTGGGGCTTCCCTCATTTACTGAGTATTGATTCACTACTATGGATTCCTAGAATATTTTTGTTGAATATATTATTATATTTTTTG